AGTCGAGCGCCCCCTAACCACCTGGCCGACTGGGAAGTTCGTCGTTAAAAAGAAATTGTGCAACCCATATTTTATTGTGACCTACCTACACGTCGTTTTAAAACTTACTTAATAAAGTACTGTTTTTGTATACAACTCGGGATTTTATCCCCAAGATAATCGACCTTTTACGTATGAAGGCAAACAAGGAGATATAACAAGATGTCAATCACAATATATAGCCAGTGTGGTTAGGGCGCTCGACTCTCAATCTTACACGGCTAGCGCAGACATCCCTCGTGTAGCTTTGCGCGAAAATCGAAACAAACAAACAAATATCCGGTGTGATGAATGCAACTTTTACATGTAATTAACTTGTTTAAAATTAATTTATCATGAATATTCCTGAGCTAGAGCTACTACTTCATATGTGTCATTTATAGAAAGTTTTTATTATCTGTATTACAGAATACTCTGGCTAATTTCTTGTTCCAGTTACTGTAAAAATAATTAATTTTGTTTAAAACTTCGAAGTATATTCTTGATAGGCAGGAAGGTTACAGGTTTAAGGAATGTATTTTTATTCTTGGTCGAAAATTAACCTATTCGTATTCATTTAGAACATCAAAAAATTTGCTTTTTGCTCGTTTATTATTTTATCAATTTCATTGCATTCTTGTGGAGATTTCATAAATGATTTACGAGTTAAAACGAGTATATGTATATATACTGTTGTATAAAAGAGAGTAAACTGGAACGAAACGTTAGCATTAAACAAAACTAACGTTAACATTTTCATCCCATTCTCTTTCGCCGTTGATAAAATGAATTAATAATCCATAGCTGTTTTGTACAAGACACAACCCCACCTGGAATTCAAGTATTAGTTTAAGTCACAAATTTAATATTTATAGTTTATTTAAGAAGACAAAGTGTTATTTATTTCGTCATATGCGGTTTAGAAATGTTTACGAAGAAGCAACAAATTTGTCTTTGCCAATTTGAATGTTACAGAAACCACAACACGCGCTGTACGATTACACAGGCAATATTTTAGATGTAGTCTTTTTAAAAAAAAATAAATGTAGGCCTAATTCTTCATCGTGGTATTTATTTCTTAACAATTTTGTTATCTTTTTTAAAAGTTAGTGAACGAAGTATTTTTATTTTACTTTTTTTTTTATCACACGAATAAGCGTGATATTTTTAACTTCAAATATTTTCACTACTTAGGTCTCGTAAAAGACAAAGCTGGCCGTTAGTAGCGCCATAAAACATGTGTGATCATGTAATATTTTCGGCCCGTTCTTTCTTGGGCACATGATGTTAGAGTACAGTGTGCTAATAAAATTAGCGGTGGAGAAATTATTAAATATAGTTCTGAACGAAATAACAGCATTATTTAATTTCTGTAGTACGTATTGGTGTATAGAAGACATATTAATACTGGAAATAAATCACCTTATAACACCAAAATGTTTCGCTTTACACTTCACAGCTTCTTTACAAAGCTTTAAACCGTTCAGTTTTGGTTTGTATTTTAGTGAACGCTCCTGAAGAAACTGTAAAGCGAAACGTTGAGTGTATAATTAAATAATAACAACATTTTGGTGTTATAAGGTTGCTTATTTCTAGTATTTTCAAATAACCTGCAAATATACAATTAACAGACGGGACAATAGCGACATACACCATATCATCAAACAATATCAGTTAATGATGATCACTTTTTACAACACTACCATATCATCAAACTTACATAAAACAGCGTCTATCAAGAAAAATAACAATAATAACCCTTGTTTCATCGTTCATAAAGACAGCGTCTATCAACAAAATAAATACATAAATAACCCTTGTTTCACCGTTCTTAAAAACAGCGTCTATCAAGAAAAACAAATAAATAACCCTTGTTTCATCGTTCTTAAATACAGCGTCTATCAAGAAAATTAATAAATAACCCTTGTTTCATCGTTGATAAAGACAGCGTTTATCAAGAAAATTAATAAATAACCCTTGTTTCATCGTTGATAAAGACAGCGTTTATCAAGAAAATTAATAAATAACATTTATTTAAAAAGTTGGATGAATATAAAGGGCTTATTAAAAAAATATAAATATGTAGTTAGAAATTATCGTTGTTATTTAAATCAACTCAGTTGGCGGAATCAGTAATATCTGATATTAATACCAAAAGCACTTGAATTTATTGTTGTTTTTATGAAGCCAATAAATTTTCCCCTTTTTTTTTACTACCTACTACTTATCTTAAATGTTATTATGTCCAACAATATTTGTTTCCAAGGGAACCAGGATCTTTGATTTCGAGGAAAACTTTTTATGACGTAATACTGTGTGGAATAAAAGGCCGCCGCAGAAAGGCGTTTTAACTGTTCGAAATATACTTTGCTCCTCCCCTGTGTGGGAGACTTTCCTGTCATGTCTCTTTTTTAATTCGTCCCGTTTTCTCGCGCTCCTAACAAGTTGTGTCTCGGTTCCAACATTTGTTCACATCCAGCGTAGATGGGGAATAAATACACGTACTCCACTAGCTCTTAATAAGTGATATTCTGATATATTTTTCCTAAAACTTTATAACGTACACTCGTATTTCAAAGACATGATGGGTAAACTGACGTTGTGCATGAGTTTTTTCTCGTGCTCCAACTTTTTACTTCTGATGCTGTTCACTATGGTCAACTGCAAGGTAAGAAGAATCCAAATTCAATACCACTAGATTTCTACATAACAAGTGATTGCGACTGTTACTCCTATCACCACCTTCACTTCTCACTGACGATGTCTTAGTAGGATCGACGTTTCGGTGTATCCTGGCAGTATAAGATGTACCGTAACGTTGTTCCTGAGCTAATTCACAGTCTTGTTTGTTTCCCTTTCAATGTAAAATAATACCGCAGGGAATGGAACCCCGGATTTTAACCTTGAAAGTCCGGAACTTATCAAGTCCCCCGATGGGTCTGCGAAGAAAAAGTTTTTATAGTTTACTGTATTGAAACAAAACTATCTTTTTTTCTAGAGCACAGACGCACAACCGGCTGAGCTCTGTCCACTGCGAGGTATCGAACTCCGGGTTTTAGCATTGTAAGTTCGCAAACTTTCTGTTGAACCACTGGGGGCCAAACTATCGTTTTATTTACCATGACAACAGTAATTGCTGACACTAACATTCAATGCAAGTTTTTTTTCTTGTATTTTAACCCACGCACCTAGACAGATTGCTAACCTGATACGTCGCAAATTGTCATGATGCGAATGAGGTAGCTATTAACTAGCGCTCGCTGCAACGCTTACTGTCTACGGGGACGTGTTTGCTTCCCTGTAACATGTTATCCTGATTTCAACGAGGGATAACAAACATACGGATTCATTAGCTCCTAAACTGTAACTGAAGGAGTATAATTGAAACCTGAATCTTTTACAAGAAAGAAACCTATACATTTCAAGGTTTTGCAAAACGCCAAAAACTATAGGAGAGAGAGAGAGAGACCCCTCAAATCCGTATGAACTCAGAAGTTTCTACAAAAACCCGTCAACTGAAAGGAGATACAGACTTTCTCTCAGTGTGGTCGCAGAACATTCTTAAAGCTTCCATTCTACTCAAGTTATTTTCATAATCGTGGCATATAATTCACGAATCCTCACTCAAGACATGTATCCTACAAATCCACATTCAAGTCATATAATTCACGAATCCTCACTCAAGTCATGATATCCATGAATCCTTACTCAAGTCAGGTGGTCAGTTTAAAATGATATCTACATAAATCAGACAAGTAAAAATCAGTAACTAGCTTGTTTCTAATACAGATTTCTTCATGGATGTTTTTATTTTCTGGAACTTTCGTTTCGTATTATAGTCTTTTTATGTACGTGTCTTCATTACCCTTTCATATTACTTGAAATAATTCGAATTTTCATCCTTCCCGTTTTTTTTAAATTTCCACCTATGTTCTGTATGAAACTACCAGTGTCGCTGAGCTTACGATCTTTCTACTTCATGTCCTTCACAAAGTAGTAAAATGTCCCTATTCTCTGTTTTAACATTCAACAATGGAAATGTTATTTTAAACAGACAAACGACCACACTGCTCATTTCCGCCTACACGCGTGCACAACAGAGCAAGAACATTTTTAACATTAGGATGCCCATAAATCTTAATCTTGCTGTTTGAATTTATATTTGAACGTCTAACATTCAAGGTTTCATTCCGTTGAAAAATGTGTTTGTTTTTAAGCGCAAAGCTACGCAATGATTTATCTATACTCTGCCCAGCGCAGGTATCAAAACCCAATTTTTAGCGTTATAAGCCCCAGATTTGCTGCTCAGCCACCTAGAGATCTGAATACTGCAGATTTAAAGACATTTAGTGGGATATCGAATTATTTTCTAATTTTCGTGCAACATAATTAAGTATTTATGTTTGACATAATTCTTCGTTTTATTTCATATATATGTTTTGATAAAATCTTTTAACGAATTTTATTTTTCTGTTGAATTAAAGCGTCTTCTAAAAGAAATTAACGCTTTCCAACAATGTTCTAGATTCAACAAGAAATTAACACTTTCCAACAATGTTCTGGATCCATCAAGATATTAACACTATCCAACAATGTTCTAGATTCAACAAGAAATTAACACTTTCCAACAATGTTCTGGATCCATCAAGAAATTAACACTTTCCAACAATGTTCTGGATCCATCAAGAAATTAACACTTTCCAACAATGTTCTGGATCCATCAAGAAATTAACACTATCCAACAATGTTCTGGATCCATCAAGAAATTAACACTATCCAACAATGTTCTGGATCCAATAGTAAATTAATATTTCCCACTCAATGTTCTGGATTGAAACAAGAAACTATGCTTTCCTCATCATAAAATAACACAATAACGTGTGTAGCAATTAGATATCAACAACAGTAAACGAAACAAATTGTTATAAGTCTTGATATGGCAGCGTACTAAAAACCTATTTTCGACGCATACATGTGTTCATCTTCAGTTTCATGTAGTTTTTCCAATATCTTCATTTACTGTGTTTTTTGTGTTGTTGTTATCTAATGTTTCCTTACTTAGTGTTTTGGATTGAACAAGAAAATAACACCTTCCTATACAAATACAGTTTTCTGAATCTAACAAGATTCTTCTTTTGTCTTTTCTCGCCAATTCGCAGAAGTTCCGGATGTGAGTACGTCTGGTGAGCTAGCTTACTTGGAAGGCCTCTCTGGGAATAACATCGCTAACTTCTTCGAGTCTGTTCCACCAGGTAAGGAAGTTTACTGAACAAAACTAAAGTCACAAGCTGATCATCTCAAATCCCTAAATGAAACAAAAATCATAGATAAGTTGTAAGCCTAAATTAACTTTAAAAAAAAAAAAGTTGATACGACTATCGAATCAGTTATAAGTTAGTTTTTGTAATAATGGTGGCATCTATAACCAATCTTTATAACGCTTAATAAATTACGTGTAATTCACAATATAATTATTTTAGTTTTACAGTGAATTTTTATAGTTCTGTTTGAACATTGTTTTAAATAATTCTCTCAGACCGATTAAAATCTTGACTGAAATTGTTTCACAATATATTTGGTTGGGAAAATATTAATAACAGCATAGCTGTTTTTAACATTTTAAAGTTACCTGTTGTGTTAAAAACAGCTCGCTAGAACTGCAAACCAAATAAGGATTAAAACTAAAATTATTTAACAATACCTATTGAATATATATAATAAACTTTAATATTGTTTTACTTTTCCAGGTGGATTCTTTATATGAGAATTAGGTATTAAACAGTTTAAATTGGATATAAACAGACAAAACAGTTTTTTTTTTTTGTTCTTCTGCCAAATATGCAAATATTTGTGTTTCTACAAACCCAAAAGTTTTCGGTTCAAATAACTTAAGAACACTAAGGTTCTAAAGCGTAGCTTCCAAAGTTTTAATAAACTAAAAATATTTACAATAAAAAATAAGTAACACATTTAAGTAAAATGTCATGGTTCGAAAACAACAATAAATTATTTTTCATAATTGAGGCTTGAATAAAACGCTATTGTTTGAAAACTACAATAAATTATCTTTCATAATTGAGGCTTGAATAAAACGCTATTGTTTGAAAACTACAATAAATTATCTTTCATTATTGAGGCTTGAATAAAACGCTATTGTTTGAAAACTACAATAAATTATTTTTCACAATTGAGGCTTGAGTAAAACGCTATTGTTTGAAAACTACATTAAATTATTTTTCATTATTGAGGATTAGATAAAACGTCGTTATCGAGAATTATACGTTATCAGCCGAATGGGGGAGGGCCTACGATAAATTCTGGTGAACTCAGCCAGAGAGTTTTATTGGCAGTAATTATTTCCATGCCTGGTACGTACTTGTCTCAATAAAGATGAATTACTCTCAACAGGAATGAAAGAAAAGAGAAATTCCTCACTGCAGAAAATTCTCAGCCTTTTGAGAAAAATAGCCTACCATCGTCAACAGCCTGTCCACATCATTGGAAAACACATGAGATTTGGGATAAGTAAGAAGTAGAAGTCTTACAGAAAGCGGGGAACAGGAACAGATTGGTTTAAACTTTAAGAATATTCCGGAGACACTTTCTTGAGCTTTGCTTTAGTTGTAGTTTTTAATGTATTGTTAGTTAATTGAAAATGTAATTGTAAATTAGATTTAGGAGTAATAAGTATAGCTATAATAAAAATGGATGTTTCTGTGAACCTATACTTACTTTTAACAGCATCAACTAATTAGATTTGAAGAATAAATAAGACACATGGTCACTTGTGGGGAAAAAATCAAACTGAAAGTTTCTTAGAAAAAATTACAATTTAATTTTTAAAACCTTATGAGGACAATTTGTGTTATCATTTGAAATAACGGATTGTCGTACATCGCCGAAGTGAATCTATGATGAGACAGAAAAACAATTGATTAAAATATATAAGAACATGTAACGAGCCTAATAAAACATAAGATACTTTGTATATATTAGCTCAGTTAGTGTCTATATATGTTATGTCAAATTGCAAACTTAAGTTGACTTTTGGTTTTAGTTATTGAGATGTTAATTGTATTTATTCCTATAAATAAATAGTTGTATTAATAGAGAGAATATTAACTATGTCGATTTATTTACAAATAATAATATATGTGAAACCCAGTAAATCATCAATTCTCATTAATTTATAGCAGTTTTAGGGGTATTTCAACCCTCATCAGCAACCCTAGACAAGGGCAAATCAAAAGAATAATAGTATACGTCATACAGCGGTGAGGTGGGTATTTTTGTTTCGAGTTGTCTTATTTTAAACAGTTGGCCAGATGTATAATTCAGAAGAAGAAGTTGGTAGCATCATACGACATATATCCTACATATATTACTCTCGAAATAAGGTCAGAAACAAAGAGACCTTTACTCTCGAAATAAAGTTAGAAACAAAGAGACCTTTACTCTCGAAATAAAGTTAGAAACAAAGAGACCTTTACTCTCGAAATAAAGTTAGAAACAAAGAGACCTTTACTCTCGAAATAATTAAAACAAAACACTTTCTTTGTAAATTTCAACCTACGATTCGCCATTGTGATTTTACCTAAACTACTACAAAAACTGACCTCACCATTTAGCCTACGTGCAATTCAGGTTGAAAATTACATTTCTGAGTCTATCAATATGTTGAGTTTTTTATATTAACGTTCTAATTCAAAAGAGACTTTAATATGAATGACATAGTCTTGAAAACAGTGCATTGAAACGAATTACAGTCTGTAAAATATTGAAAACTTTATATATTTTCTTAGTTAATTGAACACAAAAACTAAAATTCCATCACTGGGCATCTGATTCAAGTTCTTCTTTTTCATATTAATCCATTCATTATCTTCAACTATAAATAATTCTACATCTCGCGTTCTATTCCTTGAAATTTAAATAACTTTTTAGGTTTCTAACGTGAGTAGCCATATTTATATTAAGTGCTTTATTTGGACTATCACCAAGTTATTTTAGTTTTAATACACAAGTTTATGTTATTATTATTTTATTTAAACTTATTAGGCACAAATATAATTTGTGATTAACTTTTACAAAATGTTGACAAAGCCATACACTACTGGCCTGTATTTCGTTGATAAGCAGCTATACTATGGTCAATAGGCAAAATTTGTTTCGTTGTTAGGCTATTTATTGCTGGACGAAACAAATCTAGTTGTTAGGCCAATAATCAGTTAGGTAAAATCAATTTTGCTGATAGACGACTACGTTACTGGTCAGTTGGGCAATAATAATTTCGTCGATAGGTGACTGACTACCCTGCTGGTCAGCTGTGCGAAAGGAGTTTCGAAGATACATGCTTTGTCTCTAGCTGGGTAGAAAGAATTTCATTAATAGCTACCAGTCGGGTGCATAAAATGAATTTTGTTGGGTTAGACGGAATAGTCGAAAACAATTTCAAAAGGTAAAACTAAAAAGAAGAAATTACGTTTTAAACTACTCGAATTTGTTTCAGCATCGTTCTGTTAAGAATTTCTGAAAATCAAACAGTTTATGAGATACAACATAAGCTTATTTCTCACTAGTAAACAGCGTAGTTTTATAAGAGAAAAACCATATTATTTATC